CCTGGACGTCCAGTGACATTGAGTCCTGGTGCTCTCTTCACTGTCTCCTGGTACTCTGCTTGGGACCCTGGTTCTCTGAATCCAGCAGATGACCTTAGTTCTGCACATCTTTGTCCAAAAATTGCCTGAATTTCCAGGTTAGTGGAGGATGGGCTGTCATCTTCGCTCATGGCTTCAAGGGCTGGAAGACAGATAAAGTGGCACAGTCAGAGCCCAGAGGGCCACCCGGTGATTCTTCTGCTAAGGCCATCTCTCCCAGCACTCGCCATGCCTATCAGAGATGAGGACCCAAGGGGATCAGCCACAAGGTGCTGGTCACGCCTGCTCTTCCATCCTGTCCATGCCATCAGCCCTGTCGTCCCCCTCTGCCACTCGCCATCCTTCCATATCTGGATCTGCTTTGGCTCTTCGTGCTGTTGTGCCGGAGCAGGTCCAGGGTCTTTCTTATTTTTCCCCCTGAAGACTTTGGGCTGGCTGAGAAATCTCCCCACCATTCCAGCATCTTGAAGTCACCTTCTAGAGAGATGCTTCAGAGTATCTCCAAGTCAGCAGTTGTGCCTTGAAGGCACCTGAGACAGAGGAGCCTCAGGAAGGCTGCAGGACAGCAAGTCCTGCACTCTGCACAGTTTTCTTGTGCAGTGCACAAGTGTTAGAAAACCATAGGTACTTGCTGTGCCTAACACTGTCTGAAAGAAGAACTTGCTGCATTTCTGCTCCTTCATTTAACAAAGGAGTTCTGGTGTGCTCTCACTATGTGCTTTGCCATTCCCCACCCGTATCTCAGGGATTTCCCAGCACAGGCCTTTGGAAGGATCCCAAAGAGCGGGCTGCTGTCCATCATGTGTTCCTGATCTGCATGGCCCCGTCTTGGCAGTGTTGGTGCCCTCCCCTGGGGTCAGTTCTTTGCCCCCATTATGGGGCAGGACCCACACCTGATCCATGTGGACCTGTGTCTTCCTGCTGTCCCTGCTGGCAGTTCTGCTCTGGGAAATTTGGCAGCTCCAGCCCAAACTCAGTGTGTCCTTAGCTAGCACAGAGAAAACCAGGAAAGCCATTGCTGAGGAGCTGGTCACGCAGATGCAGCCTTTGAAGATGAGAGCTGTCATCACAGCTTTTGAAGGTTGGGATCATATTTCAGATATGGGGGAAATGGGAGGTTTTTTCCCTACTCTGGCTCTGCAGCTTCATTGATCATGTTGTAGGGTAAAATAAATCTGAGATCTGATGGTGAAAAGAGCAGCAAGAGCAGGTCCCAGGGGATTTGGGAAAGAGGCAGGAGCCGTGCCAGGACAGGATTTACTTCCAGGCAGCAAAGCCTTGCAGCAGTGTCACAGCTGGGTGCTCCATCCCCAGCCCTTAGTGGTTGAGGGATGTTTTTATCAGGGGTGCTCAGCTTGACATCTTAAACGAAGGTAGAGTTTAGGAAGGTGCCAAGTTCAGAGCTGCTGAGAATTTGGTTTCTGGAACATTGGTTGTCCAGCATCTCGACCTATTTTGAAAAGTTTTGGTCTTAATTGCCTAAAAAAACCCCACCACAAAGCTGCATGTACTGGCAATATAAAAATCCTCATTACCAGCAGGGATGGTATAATGAACATCTTTTTAATCTTGTTTTTTTTTTCTGGTAACGAGCAATAATTTTTAAATACTGGATTTGATAATTTAAAAACAAGTGGAAGTTCTTCACTGATGAACACACATGCTGTTAATTGGCCAGTTGAAAGTGCTGGTTGCACAGGGCCTCCCAAAGTAGCAAACCAGAGCTTTTATTTATTTGTACCTACAGTGTTTGAAAAAGAAGTATTTATGAGCTGGTTTTGTTTGCCAGTCATCCTGGGAAACATTTTTGTCAACTCAGAACAGCAGCGAAAGCTGAGTTTAATAAAGAAAACATTCCAAAACCAGCCTTTCTTACTCTCTCTGTGAACCTACTCAGGTAACAATGTTTATGTTGACTGCTGATAGCAAAAGGGTTGGGATATTTGTAGCGCCTCTGCAGCTTGTTCTCTACACACTTTAAATTGCCTGTTGACTTAGGAGAGTTACATTTGCCAGCCTAAGACCAAAGTCTTTGTAGGAGATGATGGGGATCAAATTTCATTTCAGTGGGATTTGGCATTAGGTACCAATTTCCTACTGATTTGTTTTTTTCTAGCAGGAGTTCAGCTGCTGTTTGGAAAACCTCACGTGTTTTTATAGAAAATAAACTTTGGTCCACGACAAATCCGGGGTTTGATTTGAACAAATTGTCGTGGAACAGAGAGATCCACGCTCTGAGAAGCGCCGTGCCAAGGTGCCCAATGCCACCCAAAATCAGCCCTTGGCACATTGTCACTTACAGTGCAGGCTGTTATTTAAAGCCACCTGATGAGTCTGGAAACCTCAGAGGCAAGAAGAGGAATCCTTTTAGCTGTGCTGCTTGTCTGACCACGGAGGTCAGCATTCAGCAGTGCCTCGCAGAGCTGCCCCTCGCTGTCACGGCTGTCAGAGCGGTTCTGATTTCGGTCACCGAAATGCGTTTTGTTGTAACTTCATAGGGCAGACTGCCCAAAAGGGACAATAATCAGTATCTCTGAGTGAGTTTAGCTGCTGAGTAAAGCCTCGTGCGGGGAAAGCACCGAGTTTCTGAGTGCAGCCACAAGGAGGAGCTGGGATTTGTTGGATGAGAGCGGAGCTGCTCCTTTCCACACTCAGGAGGAGTAACCGGCTCAGAACTTCTGCTTGTGGACTGATCACAGAAGGAACAGAAAAAAGCCTGTCAGTCCCAGTACTCAGCTAAAACTGGTCATGGGGTATCCTGAAAATATTGCAGAACAGCCTTTGGTGAAGTAGAAGGATGCAGAGCTTTGGAAAATCTGCAACTTGAAAAATGATAGGAACCAGCAGAAATTGTTTCCATATAGATCCAGGCTCAACTTGGTCATGGTGTCCACCTCTGTAGGAAATGTCCTTTCATGCACTGGGATAGGAGACCAATAAACTGTCTTTCAATTAGCAAAATGCAGAGAGCAGTTTGCCTTTTCTAAATTCCATAGAAAATACCAGGGAGATGCACAACAGTCCTGGGTCCTGGAATTCCTGCCCTGACAGAGCGATTCCCTTCTTCACTAGAAGTGGTTTGGGATTTGATGCACCACCCAGGCCTCCAGCTGCCATTCAGGTGGGCTTGAGCCCCCCACCTGAGACATCTTGGGCATCCTACATGTCCCAGGTGCCACTGGGGAGCCAGGCCCTGTTGGATTCAGTTCTTTTCTGACCCAGAGATGGGGCAACTGAGACGTGTTTTAAAAACTTTTATTTCATTTTCAGTCTCATGAGAAGGGTGAGACAATACAGATGTTATAATTCACCCAAGACAATCAGAAGCTCTTTTTTAATTACAATACCCTATAAGTGTTTCTTGGCCTATCAGCTTTTGCCACACCTCGCTGTAAATGCCTTAAAGCCAATCATCTAAAATTACCCCTTGTGGGTCCTACTCCAATGCATCTTTCATAGTTCTATTTCTCCAAAGCATCTAGTTTATTTGCAAGGCCATCCTTTGAACTCATTTCTAGTTCCATTTCTCTTTCAAGAATGTCTGTCCTGTTCCATGGCATTTCTAAGTCAGCATTTCTTATCTCAAGGTTTACATACAGATCTGTGAGCCTTCCGTCAGGCTTGGAGAATTCTCTACAAATCCATTTCCCACGGGCATCCTGCATGGCCCAGGTGCCGCTGGGGAGCCAAACCCTGCCCATGTCCAGGGAATGTCCATCAGCCTCCCGGGAAGCGCTGGCTGCAGGAGAGCCCAGCGAACACCAGATGCCACTGTTCCCTCAGCATGGGAAAAATCCCGTTTACGATGCAGGGGAAATATTCCCAACCTTTTCCTGCATGCATCGGGTCTCTGGAGCCTGCAAGAGCTGGCTTTCTGTTAAAGGTTGGGGTTTAGACATTCACTAATGACTCTGGTGCTTTCCAGGAGACGGTGCCCAGCCCATCTCTCTTCCAGGGCCTGCTCCTGCTTGGAAGTGCCACTTGTTCTGAGGCTGGCTGCTGCAGGGATTAGCATGTTCACTAAGAGCATTTATTTTTCTAAGTAGAGGGTGGTTTTGGTATCCCTTCCTTCAATCAGAAAAGGAAAAAGACCAAGAATTCTTTAAAATTAGTGATGTGGGAGGGTTTAAAGTACATCTGGGTTCACTTGGCTTTCAGATATTTCTTCCCCCTCAGCCTGACATTGCGTTTAGCTAATATGTCATCAGAAAAGAAAGAAAGAAAGAAAAAAGGGAGTTTTGTTTTTAACCTAAGCCATGGTTATGCTTCACTTGGATTTCTTCTCCTAGAATCACAGGATGGTTTGGTTTAGAAGAGACCTGAAAGATGACCCTGGCCAGGGGCAGGGACACCTTCTACTATCCTGGGTTGCTCCGAGTCCTGCTCAACCTGGCCTGGAGCACTTCCAGCGATGTGGCAGCCACAGTTTCTCTGGGCAAAATATTTTCATATTTTTGGGTCATGGGGAGCAGCACTGGAGAGTTCCCTTCCTCCAAATTAAAGCTAGGAAGTAAGCACAGCACAATTTAATAGAGACCAGCTAGGGAAAAAAATCAGTTTACAGACCGTGTTGATTGTGCATATTCATGTGTTGTTTCTTCTTTGTATTCCAAGCTTTCCTAGGACATACATCCTGAATTTGGCAGGATGAGCAAAAGAAAAACCAAAAGTGTGGTGGAAATTCAGCTGTGAGATGTAAGCCAGGCAGAAGGTGGCAGTGCAGGTGTTTGGTAAAGGCTGGAGCAGCAGCAGGCAAAGGAGATGGGATGCGGTGGCCTGGAAGGGGTCTGGCTTATCCATTTTACTTGTTAGGGATGTAAAATCACAGCCAAAGTTCTGATAAATAACGAGAATGTACACGGGAAAGAAAACTGTCATCTTTTCAATTTCAGCTGTAGGAAAAATTACCATTTCAAACTGCTCAGTTTCAATCATTTCTAACGTTAGACATTCCAACACTTACACATTCTCCCTGGAGGGAAAGCGTGTGCTTTTCTGGTCTAATGAGCATCAGTAGTGCTGAGTGACTGGCCACCAAGTAGCTCTCCAGAAGCATTCCTTTGAAGACAAGCAACCATTTTTGTGTGGGGAGTCCTTGTTAAGCAAGTTGTGGATTATCAAAACCATTTCTTTGACTTACAAATCGCAGACCTTGCGGACACATCCACCAGGAAGCTGTCCTTGCACAGGGGAGACCGTGGAGAAATCTCTTAATAAAACCCTAAGGAAG